TAGTGGGGAGAAACTTGCAGCGGAGCAAATAATCGATTCCCTGCGGAGAATACAATGCCAGTGAGTGGAACGCGGTCTGAAAGTCACCGTAAACGTGAACACAATCAGTTATGATCCGAAATGGTGTATTACGTCCTTCCAATGATTGCTAAGCCAGAATCCATCTTCTCGGTTGAAATTGTCTCTGTGTTTGTATATGTGGATCGCCTCATGAACGAATCTCTCATGGTAGCCAGATGGCTTGCAGAGAACCTCTGTCTTGGAGAAGTCAATGTCATGTGAGCCCACTGAATTGTAACAGTGATCTGCCACGGCTGAGGTGTTTGTCCTACCGTGTTTCAAGTCTGCTTTATGTTCACGGATGCGGTCCGAGACATGTCTTTTGGTTTCTCCAATGTAACTGCTACCACAGAGGAAACTTAGTTTGTAGACGCCAGGGTACTGTATGTCTGGAACCACATTTTTTACAGACGGGACCAGATCACGGATTTTATGTACTGTGTTGAATCGGACTTGGATCTTGTGTTTAATAAGGATTTTGGAGATCTTTTTTGTGACCCCAGCAATGTAGGGTAAGGTGATGGTCTTGAAAGGCTCCTCAACAGGATCCTTCTTGATGGTTGGAGTGATGGCCTTGCGGATTGTGTAGTCGGAGTAACCATTAGCCTTAAGAGCTTGGCGTACGTGTTTGAGTTCACTGGCAATGTGTTCCTGGTCGGGAAAAGCATTGGGCTCTATGGTACAGAGTCTTGATGAGGGAATTCTTCTGGGATGGATGGTGGTGGGAATCCGGTTTCAGGTAAGCATCCGTATGGGTGGCTTTCCTGTAGACAGAGTGGCTCATTGAACCATCAGGTCTCCTTTTAATTAGCTGTATCACTTGTGCTGTGACGGTTCCAGCTGAAGACGGAAGCTTGTGTTGCCTCGAAACGTCGTGATTTTTATTTTATTTTTATTTTACTTTTATTAATTTAATTTTTTACCTACGTGACTTTACTGAAAAAAACTAAGAATATAAAGGCTCATTCCTTGCAGCGTGCTTCATCCGCACCGAACCTCACAATGGCTCCTCTCACCCTCAACCAGTATATATACAAGGACTGTTTTCTTGGAATTTCTCTTACTTGATGCAGCAGTCGTGCTGTGACGGTTCCACCTGAAGACGGAAGCTTGTGTTGCCTCCGAAACGTCGTGATTTTTATTTTATTTTTATTTTACTTTTATTAATTTGAATTTTTTACCTACGTGACTTTACCGAAAAAACCCTAAGAATATGAATCATTGCAGTCACGAAAGCTTCAAATCTAGAAGTATTACTTATAACAATTACTTAATGAGGAGTAACTTCAGGGCTTCTTGAACAGTCCCTTCGGCTGCTTGCAGGCGCAGCAGCAGTAGAGGATAGACTTGCAAACGTGGCAGAAATAAGACGGCTACGCCCGGACCGTGAAACTGGTCGCTACCGTGACGCGGTGATGCCATGAGATTATACAATCAAAAAAATAGTTGGAATTCGTATCATTTAAAATTATTAGAATTTCTACTTTATTCTTATTTTTACCTGGGAATTCATGCTAGGAGGGGAGGGGGGGGGGGTACGTTACTCGGGGGATGCCTGCAGTCTATTCCCAGCACCGCCACCGCATTAATCATTTGACCAAAGAGACACCTTGACATTTGACTCGACTATCAAAAATTACCAGTCAATTTGCCTGGGGTCCAAACGAGCACTATGAAACAAATTAGCCGCTCGCAAACACAGTAGCCGAGGCCCGTCGCATTCCGGCATTTAGTCACGCAGCGAGTTGTGAAGGGGGCGGGTGTTTCCTGACACTCAACCGTACTCCATAGTTGGCTGCCTGCCACCACTCAGAAGCACTGGCTCCGTGCCTGTTCATATGATCTCCAATAGGTCACTGGGTGATCCACTCTTGCCTTGGCAGCTCAATCATAACAAAATAGGGTGCCGAGCAGGGTGGCTGCCTCTGCAGTGCACCTCCTCCATGGCAGCGGCGGAGCCCAACTCTGTTTTTTTTTATCAGAAGGGCCACACGCCGTGAAAGCCAATTGTTTTGATCGATAGCCGCGTGGCTTACGATATGAATGCAAGGTGTTAAGAAGCGATGGGTAGACTCCTGGCTATTATTTTGTAATTCAGAATTTCTTTCTACATGTGCAATGGGCAGCGCGAATGTTTTCAGAATTATGCACTAAAAATAAAGCGGTGAGATAATTTTGCTTCGTGTTGTTTTAGATAAAGGGGTTAAACAGGGCCTCCTTTATTCAATTAGAGTTTTGGTCGGTGACGTTCCTGTCCATTGGCAGGCTTAAGCCATCACTGGAATTTACACATTGTCATCAGTCACCAACGCCAGTGTATCCACAGGTTGATCACTGGTGACTTTTTAACAAAGTGATACTGATTTGATTGATCCCAGAGATAATGAGATAATTCAACCACTGACAGGGATTTGAACTTGTGGCCTTACAATTGTGCTAAAATCACTCAGTCAGATGTAATGCTAGTAAGTTATTGCAGTGGTGGTACTGCTAGGCATGAGTAAGACAATATAATGATCAGGGATAAAGGGACCCAGATTCATGACAATATAGGGGTGAGATAAATATCAGTTCGACTTCAAATCCTAATCAACGTATCAGGACAATGAACATAAAGCGAATGTTCATATGTTTTATCCCTTTTTCTCTTTGCAGCTAGTCTCATATCATGAGTCTCTTGTTTATATATTTCTCACGTTATCTCACGACGAGATTCTAATTGGAAAGAGAAGCCCCCCAAAATAATGTTTGCTTCAGGACACCGATGGGCTAACATCAACCGCTGAGTTACAGTGCAGGGTCGTCCAGTGTCACGCAAGCCATGCCATGTGCAGCTGATGTCTCCACATTTCCAAGAACACACACCTTTTTATTTCACATTAGCCCTCGCTACATTTTGGCGCATTGGGTTTTGAGTGAGGAGCTTATGTCCTTGGGTAACGGGAAAAACGCGTGCTCATCATTAAATTGAAATTCCGACACTTGATGTGTGAAAGTAACAGAAACCCCACTGCAGCTTTACACTTCACCTCTGCGTCTGAGCAATTATCGGTTAAACGTGTACTTAGTCAAGGGAAAGCAGTGGATGGAAATCATTGATGTTTTGCACTGGTGGTGGGGCCCTTAGACACGAGTTTGTTTCACTGCCAGCGTATTAGATCTTTTTTTCTTTCAAATATTGTAATGTTTTCTTGCGATTTACAAAGGATAATTGGCTTTTGTGGCTATAAGTAGGCACTTACTAAGATGAAGATCGTCGTCGTCGTCGACTTTTCTTGCTCGTAAACGTGCGTGCATTTTGCTATGCTGGTATTGCCAGAGTTCATTCCGACCCCGACGCCTGTATATTTGGAGTTTAGTTGTTCTCCCCCTGTTCACGTGCATTTTTTCTCCTGGTCCTCCGGTTTTTTTCCTCTACGTTTGGAAGCATGCGTTTAGAGTATTTGGCTGCTATAAATTTCCACGTGAAGAGCCACTTCGTTGAGCTATCATTTGTAGCCATGTCGCTTCTGCTAAATAATAATAGCTCAGTGGGATTTACTTGGTAAAATAAAAAAGTAAAGTTAACGTTTTGTTTGCATGATTTGCTTTACCTTTCCTATACTTTGCACTCGTATTGATGTTTTGTATTGTTTGTTGGTGTGAAAAAGAGCAAGATAGCTAATCGGATTTCTCCAGTGTATATAAAGATTCTGATTCTAAGAACGTTAGAAGTTCACATGACGATTAGTGATGAACACTTTTCAGGAGGACGCTAACTTTGGTCTTCCCATACAGATAATGGCTCCCACCATGGGAATGTGGAATTTCGACAACTGTCTCAGGGCTGGGAACAGACACGAGTGCCACCCCATTGCTCACTTGAGAAGGAAGACACTTTGACTCGGCTATAAATACAGTTCCATTTGAACTGCAATTCACATTGATATGTCTGTATGTGGTGTCAATGATTCAATTTCTGCCCACTACTTAGAATAACCCATTTGGTTATTTTATTGTTTAGACCTTAGTGATATAGATTGATTAATAAAAATCAGGAAATTTAATTGTTAAGCTAAATTTAGCCATGGCTAACATTCCCTTTCCCCACATTTTTATTTAAATTCGCATAAATCATAAACATACAATTATTACTAGTGCGAGTTAAAACATGTCAGCACGCACGGATTAATTTTATAAATCAATGCATGCTTACATGCTCATTAAACTGTTAAAATTTCTGTCTCTCTCAAAAGTTTGTACAACATATTCTTGGTTCTTTCGGTAAAGTCACGTAGAAGGGAAATAATAAAATAATTTAAAACAATAAATTGTTTAAATTGTTTTATATTTATATTATTTTATTATTTCCATTCTACGTGACTTTACCGAAAGAAACAAAAATATGAATCCCTGCAGTCACGAAAGCTTTAAATCTAAATTTGTACAACATCTTGAGTGACTTGCGATTTATTTTGCTTTGAACTTGCAGCCTTGTGATTGTGACTTGAGCAAGTCATTCACAGCATCACCCAGCAGGATCATTAAACTAAAACAATATTTTAAATTACCAGGCAAGGCCCACTGAGCTATATAGTTCTTTTTCAGAAGCGACCTGGCCACATATGATAGGTCAACGAAGGTGGCTTATCAAGTGGAAATTTAAAGCAGCCAAATACTCTAAAACGCATGTTTCTAAATTCGGAGGGAAACCCCAGAAGACCCGCAGAAAAAGCCACGCGACCACGGGGAGAACATGCAAACTCCAAGGAAATGTGGTTGATCCCACGACCTGCTGTATACCAGGTGAGGTAGTTAACATCTCGCCACCGTAGGGCCCAAACTAACAAAATGGTCTCAATTAATTATATGCGTTATCATAGCAAACAATTATAATTATTGAACAATGTAAATGAAATATACAAATGCACTCAAGTTATATATTACAATAATTTATTCCAATAAAACTTACACATACAAAAACAAAATTTGTTTTATGCACACATACTTTTTAAGCAAAGAGAAAACATGTTTCTTGTTTTAAATATTTTAAGACCTGTGCAGAGCCTTGATAAAAGCTGCTGGCCCTGCATTCTAATGCAAAAAAACACACCACGGTTACACGTTGTGTCATCAGTGACAAAAGCAAAGAGTTTGGAATAATAATTTCTACCGGCTTATAAACTCATAGATAACCAAAACAAGTGTGTGTGTAATAATCCACATTGAAAGATTTTTTTTCGCCATTGTTAACACAGGACTAACAAAATGTACCACTGCTTACTGTACAAAAACCACAACCATACTTTATACCTCATTTTAATATACACAACTCTCCACATATTTAGGGTTACTACAATGCTATTGTGTAAGCATAACTCTTTACAATAAAAATTGCTTACACCCACTAAAACATCCACTTGATTTGTGTTCCCCGTAGCTTACATTAGGTATTCAATACTTTCAATGCAATCAAATTAATGTAGAAAAATATAAACATTATACTTGATGTCAATATTTTTTTTATTATTACCTTATGTTATTTATTCCCATACTTGTTTAATAGATGTAATTAGATTTATTTTGTTCTTTGTTTTGTAAGTCCAACATCAATGCCTCCATTGGTATGAATGATGTTTGGGGGCATTTTTGGAGAAAAGTGAGTAATTATTCAGTATAGCTACAGCTGTGAAGTAAAATCATTCAAAATCAGAGACAGACTGCCAGTGATCTCAATTGATATTCATCAGCCAGTGCATGATAATAAATTGAACATATCTCCACAATATGCAAGGTCTGTAGGATGTGCTTGGATACGCATATTGGACTTCAGACACAGCCGCTATGTAATTAAGCATAACACAGGTTTTGATTAGCAAGAACCACACAAATAGCTTTTACTGTATTAGGAAAATTACAACTTATTTAATGTACATGTAAAAGTACATAGGTGCATGGGTAAGACGACTGTATGCATTCAGTCTTGTTCACACACGTTTGTATTTGCGTGTATAATGGTACAATAAGCACGGTTTGGAAACAAAATGACCATCTGTCCATTATGGGCTGAAATTATACCAATTAGCATATAAGAGGGCTGTGTAGTAGGCAATCATCATTTTAGCTCATTTGCTTTCAACAGTCACTTTACCCTACTCTTTGGTTCTTTCGGTAAAGTCACCTAGGTAGAAAATAATAATAGATCACGACGTTTTGATCGCAACGCAAGCGATCGCCTGATGACGACAATGATGACGATTGCTTGCGTTGCGATCGAAACGTCGTGATCTATTATTTTTTTTACCCACGTGACTTCACCGAAAGAACCAAAGAGTATGGATTCATGCAGTCACGAAAGCTTAAAATAAAGATAGTCACTTTACCCATTAGTCAGAATATTGACTTTTTAAAAGTATTATTTGAATTGTCTTTAATCACAAAATAGACATTGTAGACCAGTTCACCAGACAGTGTACGCTCAGTGTATGTAATCTTCACCATGCAGAAATGTTCACTGCCATATCATGATGTAACTGAATGAAACAATACAATTCATGATTTAAATATACTTATTTGATATGGCTTCGTGAAATATGACATATTGCGGTAAATATTTGTTGTAAGCATTTTATTTTATTTTAAAACTTCCGTTGTTCAACCCACTGTCTCAAACTTTGACCTATTAACGTGCTCGGTATTGAACACTTATTTCTGAGCATCGCTTAATTTTAGGTGGAATTTTCGCATCCCATGTCCATTGCCTAATTGTTTCCTAAACCTCTTCATAGGATTGTAGGAATACAGACCACTATAATATAGGATTATTATGGATAGGCATGCCTTGTACTCGAATTGCAGTGCCTTATGCCAATAATCCCTACTCCAAGCCAGCCCAACAGTGTTTCAAAATAAATGAAATGTGAAATTAAGCCCTGTGTATAACAGTATATATGCACGGTCAATAAGTGTATGCATTTTTAAGTGGGTGGGTTGGTCTAATTTATCAGCACATTCTCTGCTGAGTCACTTTGCTCAGCGTTGGCAGTTAAATCACCGGAGCCACCTGCTGTGTGGCATTCTAAACATAAAGATAACACAAACACGCTATAGAAAGTTTTGCCATGGCATCTTAAACAACCTTCACTATTATTTCACGAGACATTGGGGCTTCACACTCTCACTGTGGAAGAGTGCACTTCGATCATCAACGTTTGCCAGCCAAGTGGCTGGCGACTCGCGATCGAAAGATTACGAGTTTAATTCCTGGCTGGGGGTTGACTCAGCCCTTCATCCCTCTGGGGTTAATAAAATGATTACAATTGTGTTGGGAAGTCAACCGTGGTGGTCCTATGGACAGACTCGCCCTCAACCATGGGAATGTGGAATTTCCCCTACTGGCTCAGGGCTGTAAACAGGACATGAGCACCTCCACAATGCTCATTTGAGCTATGAAATCGTGATGACTTTTTGCGACAGAGAGCACAAGCAGCTACAGGTTCCTGGCTTTACACTCGGCGAAGCGACACAAGGGGAGATGTGTGCAGCTCTCTGTGGCTCGCTCTGCCCACCAGTGTTTCCAGTAATGCTACGGGCAGAATTGTGGAAGAATTATAATTGAATCAATGCACTGCTAGGCAGGGCCTGGTGCAGCTACCAATATCACGCCTGTCTGACTTTGTCCCTGAATTAGAAAATTCTGGACCAAGTCGTCATTTCATGCTGAACGACCCAGGCATAAGGTCTTCATGAAGGGTTGACAAAGGAAGAAAAGGAATGTTATATATAAAGATGTTCTGTGGGTTTGTGCTAATATCTTTGAAATTTTTATACATTTTTTTTTCATTTTGCCTGAGCTCATAATGCACCGTGAATTATGAATGGACTTTGCTTTGGTGGGTTGTTTGTAGGCTGACTAAGATATATGTACTAAATGTTAAATGCATCTAGATTTAAATAATAATATACCATCTTATATGTTTAGGGGTAAGTACTATAGCTATATATTATACATAAAGCAACATATCTGTGTAAATATTGTATATATTATTTCTATTCGTTGTATAATCTCTCATTTTTGTTCAAGAGGTCAGAGAAGATGCTTTTGTTTTCCAGAACCAAAAGATAAACTTTTGTTATGCAGCTGTGATGCATTGTACAATACTGTAAATATCGCCCAGCATAAATACACATACATGTCTATGCAAATCTATTGTTACGGAATTAAACGATTATTTGGTAGTACTGCATTGGCAGAGTGGTGCACAAGCACAAATAACAAAACATACAACACATTCGTCAGTAACAACTGTGGCCTTATCAGGAAATATATATCCATAATAGGCAACATTTCAGTCAATGGCCCTTCTTCATAGGGCACCCATTATGCACTGCCAATGCCCAAAACAGCACCTATTACGTTTGTGTCCCTTCAAGTCAAGTGTTGTTGAAAAATGTATTAAGTTTAGTGTTACTGGATTACTCTCATTTCGCCTTTAATTGGAAACGAATATTTCATGTTGTATTCCATTTAGTAATGGGAACTAATTTTCCACAACAACTCTTACAATTTTGAGGTGTTTTTAATCACTATCTGTAATGTTTCTCATTTTATTAACTTAAAAAAACGACCCACAATCGTTAACTTTGTTGGAAAGATCACACAGAGGACCTTTCCGAGTGTTATAGTTGTTTGTGTGACTTCACAATTACGCATCACACTCACCACGCATCAGTTTTCCACGACTTTAATAAGCACACAGCGTTCTGTAATCTGAACCCTGCGACGTCAATTTGTAGGAGCAGGTCACATAACTTTGCAGATTCCTACATCTAAACAGGGCACTGCAGTTGCACATTGTGGCTGCACGTGTCTGCAATCCAGCGACCTTGCAGGCCACATTGGCATATCGAGCAGAATGTTCCGTGTGCGTGCTCACTCAGCCAATGAGGGGCTATTTTGAAGCAGTATAGCGAGTAGGTTGTTCAACTGTGTTTTGTACACAGTTTCAGTAATGTTAGCTCGTGTGTATGTGGGGGTTTCTCTGGGGCACTCTGGTTCCCTCTCACATGCACACGTACATGGTTCGTTCACACATGGGAAAGCGGGAAAGCCAAGCATCCTAAGGCAAGGCCCTCCTGAAAATGAGTCGAGACTCAGTGAGGCTTTTCTCGTGTAAATAACTTAAGCAATTAAATTTATTGAACTATAACGTCGCCAAAAAGCAGTAATGCTCATATGGTATATGTAATTGACGTTGCTTAAGAAAGCAACATTATATTTCAGTGCCATTTTGCCTAATTAACCTTAAATAAATATAAATATACTGCAACTGTTTTACACATTCTGGTGGCTTTTTGCAGGAAGGTTGAGATAACCATTTCACAATGTATTAACAATGTATTGTGATCTATTTTTTTAAATAGCAGTTTATTTTACATTTTGAGGCTACGAATACAAAAATTATTACCACAACACTCTGTAATAACGTACTGTACAAAGCTGGTTTTACTAGGGTTAAAGAAAAGCCACGATATAGTCCTTTGCTGCTCGCAAAGATACAACTGAAATTCAGCGTGAAGGTGTTTGGTGTGTATGTGTGTGTGCACAATTTATCACGAAGAATTTAAGCAAAAAAGTCCTCCTTTTCACATGGAAATGCTGCTCACTCTTTTCACAATCATACAAATGCACTAAAATTATATATACGATACAAAATCATAAGACAAACATCCATCAGAATCCAACTAACATCAAAGCGTTTTTGGCCATATATGACTCGTAAAAACCCTTAATGCTTGTAAACGAAAAAAATTACAAGCAAGCTATGCAACATAATATATTACTTTAAGCATTATGGATAATTCTCACAATTTTGGTTCTTGACTAAGGTTGTGAGCAAAATGCTGGCTATTAAAATGAAAGAGAAAACCCCCGCAGGAAGCGTTAATTACAGTGACAATATTAATAACAATAATAATAATAAAACAGCTGCGAATCAAACAATAAAAACTCGCAATCGGCTAGGGAACGTTAAAAGAGGAAAGTTGTTTTTTATCGGGATGTTTTCATAGCTTTCGCTCTCAAACAAACTTACACGCGCGCACACACACACACGCACACAGACAGACACACACACACCCACACCCCAAAGGGTCCTCACAGAAAATATTCTTTCTTCTCTTCCGGGTGACTGTGACCACCTTCAGCGTTGAGGATGGCAGTGTCTGCATCTGGTGCATCCTCAGCTCCCTTGGCCTCATGGGTGAAGTAGGTTCCTGTAAGCAGAGCAGCACGTGATTCTCATTATCACTGACATTGCGCACAGTCAACAATGGCTCGGACACACGACAAAAATAGACATCGCAAAAGAGAGGATGTATAATGAGGAGATGGAGTGACTAAATTCGTCCACGTGTACCTTAAATTTCAGGGCTGCCCCCACCCACTCTCCCCTGCCCCCACCCCTTAATCCCTCCACCACCCCTGGTAAATGTCTAGACTTGCCACGGTGGCAATATGTCAACTACCTCGCCTGGTATGCAGGAGGTCGTGGTTTCGATCCCAACCCTGACGCCTGCTGTATATTTGGAGTTTGCGTGTCTCTCTCCTCGTGGTCGTGTGGATTCTTCTCCCGGTCTTATCCATCCACATTTAGAAACGTACATTGGGAATATTTGGCTGCAGTAACTTTCCAAATGACAAGCCACTTCATCAAGCTATCATTTGGGACCAGGTGACTTCTGCAAAAGAGCTATATTGCTCCGTGGGCCTTATCTGGTAAAATAAAAAAAAATCGTTTACAGGACATCGTAGGGTCGAGAGGGTTGGCGGAAGTGGTTTGGGGAGATCTTCATCCAGTAGAGAAGTGACAATGGCTGATGATGATGGACAAATACAATATAAAAAGGCGATTTTTAGATAAACAGTACATTTTAGAGTGAATCGCTGCTCTGTTAATGTTGGCAGTGAAAAAATATACATTGGCAGGGCTAGGGTTAGGCAGACCACTGGAAAATAAATTATTAGGATTGGATCATGGGATATTTACAGGCATGGTTATTATCACGTATGATACGAAGCTGCGAGTTGAGCTGATTATGGTCCCGGTTAAATACATTTACCTGCAAACAGCAAAATGACCACTAAGCCATACGGTCATCTGTTTATCAGTACTCTAGTTAATGGGAACATGAACGCTTGAAAATGGGCCTCATTTAAACTCATTTTGAGCTCAAATAATGTGTAGCTTTTTAAATGCGTTGTTAAGCAATGTTCCCATAATTGGAATTTTACACCCATCGCGTACTTTGGGTGAAATGAAGGTGTTGGAATTTTTTAAATTTGACATTAAAGAGCCGTGATTTTGCATAAATATTCTGTCCACAATAAAGCGTTAATTGTTGGTGAAAAGAAAAGCGTTATACAATAAATATAATTAAAAAAAGACTCCGCATGCACATATTTTACAACTCGAGTCACGTACCACTCATGCCATGGTGATACATTGAATATTAAGTAACATGCCAGGCAAATCACTTTCGACACAACACAGTGCCATGTGGCTGTATATTAAAAAAACCCAAGCACCATTGTTTTTTGTATTTCAATGCATGTCACTGAGGCACATACGCTTGTTTTGATATAACTCGGTTTTGGATGTGACTGTGTGGCTCAGGGGACTGGCAATGGCGCTAATGCCAATGTTACAACACTGAGCCGGGAGTGGTCACAGTATTGGTCATGAGTGACTGCTCAAAAATAATCCTTTGTAAAAAATCAACATTTATTTGCCCTTAATGCCATTTTAAAGACATCTTCGAAGATGCCAGTGCAGGATGCCTGGTTGCCAGCTTAATACATTGCAGCAGCAGCTCGAGACGGAACCCTAAAGGATCCTGGGAATAACCCAGTTCCAAAAAACAAAAAACCATCCTGTTGACTAATCACAAAGTGCTACCTACCGCATTCTATTATGAATGAAGGGTCATTGCCCGAAACGTCACCAATTCTATACATTTAAATTATAGGCAGTGTTATTTAAGAATGGTTTGAGGTTATTTTTGTTACTTTTATTTGTGGATCACTATCAATGCACTATCACCAAATAATCTGTTTAGCGTATTCTAAGGATCATAAAGACACAATTGTTTACCATATACTATGAAAACAAAGCCTAGGTTTGCCGGTTATAATCCGATATCTGTGTGTGTGTCTGTGTGACCAGATTTATACAACTTTATTGACACCGGGCACATTTGGGTTGCGTCTCACTGTTCTAGTGCACCTCATGATTTGGAGAACACGGTACTCGTTTGTGATACAGGTTCGAATTCTTTTTTAATGTGCAGAGTCTACCCCTAACCCAGATTGGTGTTCGCGACCTTGTGGTTTGAAGCTGAACAATCTTCACCCACATAGTGATGGAGATTACAATAGTTAGAGTTAGGACGGCTGCTTTTATATGCTCGTTGACTGTCATAAATTCTTTCAGGTTGTTTCCATAATTATTTATTTACTTGTAGCCCCCTTGTTTGTTTGCAAATCGCGTTCACTGTTCAATATGGTGAAAATTTCACAACAAAGGCCGGGGTGAGGGGGGGTGGCGGATTCAGCTGCCAAGACCGACTGCGTTGGAGCTGTGGCCACTATCTTTACAGGGCAGAGATGTCATTGACAATTATATATTTTTTTATCCCATTCATAGTCGCCGTGCCGCCGTAATGAGATAGTCGTGACGACGTGAGCGCCGGACCCGCTTCGGAGACGTTGGCCTCCTCGCTGAGCAGACCAAATCAGCAAGTCATCCTGTCGGCAGCGCCGCTCATTGCAAGCATCCGGGCAGGGGAAAGGTGGCACGGGATCACCGCACACCCCCATTATGCATCAGTGAGCTACGCAGTAACTTTTTTGGACACATATTTGCTCCAGTACACTTGCGCCACACTAAAGTGTAGAGAGGGCCACAGGTGGGTAGGTAAGCGGATAGGTAGGTAAGTTGGTAGATACGTTGGTAAGTAAGTATGTGGGTGGGTACATAGATAGGTAGGCATTATACTATGTAAGTAGGTAAGTTGGTAGAAAGGTGGGTAGGTAGGTATATACGTTAAGTTGGTGGGTAGGTAGGTGAGTGGGTAATTGTGTAAGGTAGGTAGATCTGTAAGTAGGTAGGTAAGTCATCTGGTGGGTATGATACATGCATACAAATGTACATTCACATTATGCATTCCACACACATATATGTATGCATATAATTCATTGTTATTATACACGTGCATTCATTTAATATTTCTAATATGTGTCCAAGGATATAGAACATATTTCAAAGTAATTTACTGGCAATGGTATGGTCCTTTGGAGAGACTAGTTCCTGCCACGGGAAATACTGAATTTATAAACGGATGCACAGCTGGCAATGGAGATGAGTTCCACTCCAATGTGTGTATGTACGTTGAGCTTCTTTCGCATGGTATGTAGCCAACTGTGTTAATCGGAGGTGCTCATTTGATGGGGAAACTTTTTCATTGATTTTTATTTTTTAACAGATGTCGCATTTATAAATAATATCTTCCTACGTCCGCTGTGTTTGCATCTAACGTACTAGTTATCAGCCAATTGAGCACTCGAAAAAAGCCAATGATGAGCTCTTACATTTATATGAGATAAAGCCAATTAACTGGCTATTAAATAATTTCCATTTGGTTAATGTCAGTGGTCATCAGGTAGTGCCCCCATCAGCGACTGTGCATGGAGAGATCCTGATATTATGAAACGGGAGGGGGGGGGGGCAAATAAGGTCATCGTTTGCAAGGGCATCGCCGGGGCAATTTAATGCAGACTCATTGTTGTTGCTGGCCAATTTAGGAGCTCACCTAAAGCAAAAATCACAGGAAAATGAGAGCTTGGAAATGCACTGCCCCAGGGCCTTCCCATGGAATTGCTCCTCGCCCTTAGCGTCATTCTCATGGGTTTTGCGTGTGCCCTTTTTGAATCCGCAGCCCTGCAAGCCCTTCTGTGCTCCTTTGACCAATGAAAGCACATGTAACTGAATAGTGAAAAGGCCAGTTGGCCAATTAGTGCTTCGCATCGTGCCCTTGAGGGACTTGATGTGTAGGCCTGAATGTCACCGGATCTTTTAACATTTTGGAATTATAGCCATCAGTACCTGTGGCCTTGCCCGAAGTTCACGCAACTTGGCGTATTGTATCAGCGTGCACCATTGGAGCACGGATGGGCATAATCCTTGCGTTTACTTGTATAGCTCATGATAGACTTCTTCCCTAATGGAAAAGCAAATCCGCTGTGGCTTGTGTGTTTCTCTCAAACACACATGCAGAGACACACACTCATACACATGTGCACAATCGCGTACACACATGAAATGTAAAATAATCTCCCTTTAGCCTGATAGGCCGAAAGTGTACACACTCTTAGTGAGGACCTATTAAGGCCTCTTATGACAGACACAGGGGCATGGCAATGCCTCCACACTATTCCACCACCTTTATCTACATAATGCACCAATCATTCATTCAAGGTTGAGTTGATATAGTGAGCGTGGAAGAGTAGGCGAAATCCCCTCTGAAGGAGCTTTGCAGTACTCCCGCTCGTGCAGGCCCTTCCACCAGCAGTGAAGTGAATGCTTTCGAGCAGATTCATATTCCACGTGCCACAAATAATGTTGGCATGAATTTGGTCATGGGCTATAGCTGGTAGAAATTTGTGAAATTAAATGCATGAAAGCGTCTTTTTGTGGCAGACGTGTGGGTTTCTCACCTTTCTGTCTTCCAAAGTAGTGCGTTAGAACGATGAGGAGGCAGAGAGTGATGAAGAGAACAACTGCCACTACACCTCCAATCACTGCTTGGTCTGTCCCAATCTGGGCTGCGAATGTTGCTTGATCTGCAATAAATAAATCATCATCGTCATTATTATTTATGTAAATTCATCACTGTCACCATTTAGGGCTGTTCATTACGATCACCGACAATACCAATATTTGTTTATATTCAAGATCCGAGGACTAAATATTTCAGTTTGAATTCCACATGAACATCTCAAAGAAATTCAGAAGTAATTCTGTGATGTCATCTATCTTATCCTCCCATGCTATTCGTAATATAGATTACTTTGTTCCGTGATATGAGGCTAATAGTGAAATATAATTATTTTAGTGAATAAAAACACAGGTATTTGTAAAATGTTACATTACCCAGTGACCTGAGTTTGATTCCCAGCCACGGCTAACATCAGTCGCGGGTGATATCTGAGCCAGGCTTAGGCTTCCCATTTAATGAAAAATCAGCACTGGTGAAGTATTTTCAAACATCCCCAGGAATGACACTGAGTGGAGAGAATTTCATCCAGCAAGGGATTGACAAAGACATATGCAAATTTTCGTATAAATGATGCTGCGGTCAGTTAACAGTGGCCATCCTATGGGAGGGACGACCCCATCAGGGGATTGTGGAATTCCTGCCACTGCTTCAGCTAGGAATGGAAGGGGGTTCGCTGGAAGACTTCATAGGAGGAGCAACTCGGGTTAAACTCTGACGGTGGGTGCTGATGTGTGAGCTTCCTTGGCTTCACCACAGGAGAAAAGCACCGCTCAAATGACTTGATGTAACGAGACAATTTAACTTTGACTTTTTGTTAAACGAACTCTATATGGGGTCTTCCATTTACGATGGCAAATAAGGAACATCCCATATAGGCTGTTGTTTAAAATTTGGCCAACATTTTTCTTTACAAAGTTGTCATTTCTCACAGTTATATTCCAAAGAACACAGGATGAGATGTTACTAACATCTCATCCTGTGTAAGAAAATGTATAAAGGTGTAGCAAGTCATCAAAATGGAAACTAAACCTGTAATATGCTCTACGTTTCTGCAAAACATTTGATAGCAATATATCCAGCAGGTGCAATCTCTATTCCACACGTTTTATGCCTTTTTTCAGTTTTGTTTCAAGTTGCAGTTGTGGCAGGAATGAGAACAGTGCCTATCGACTGTTATCACCGGCATATTATCACCGTCTCAAACTGATAACAATCCATACGCTAGAAATTGATGGAAAAGTGATGAAATGTAAGACTGCCAAGGACAAAAGGGGCTTAAATGCAGGTTGTGTGTGCATAGAGATCCCCCATGGACTAAGATAATTGGCCAGATTCGGCAAGAGACTGAACCCAATATTTTAGCGAATGTGGTGGCCATTTGGTATAGCAATTGACCTCGGAGCATATGTCTTATGCCTATTATTACACCCACCAGGCCATTATCTTTTACAATATGGCAAATTATACTTTGGAGGAGGGTTAAATTGATGTAGGAGGCTGTTAGGTTGCACATTTTTAATGTGTGACCAATCTTAATGTAGCTCTGTGCAAAATTAATATGGCATGAAAAAGACACTGCAGAGCATTGTTGGAATACCTATGTGGACTGTCATTGTGTACGTAACACACCTGGGATGTGTCTTCCCAGGTTCGGAATTCAATCTCTCTTCTGAACAGATTCATGAATAACTAAAATAGTGTTTGTTCACGTCTGTGTGTATTCGCAAGCGACCAGCAGCGTAATGTTTAGCGTGTTGCGCTATGAATCCGACCACCAGAGTTTGATTCCCACTCACAGCGAACATCAGTGAGAATTATCTGAACCGGTTCTGGGCGTCTTCTAGGTCGACTAAGCCTTGAATTAGTACCTGGTGTAGTGTGTAAACATCGTCAGGCGTGGTGCCGGCTATCCACCCCCTCGTGTGCCATTCTGGGATTCACATTTGCTCGCTAAAGCACTTGCCCAACTTTATGTTAAGGCTACTCAGAGAATCTTTGTCTTGTATGAGCAGGCACCACTCAAAGTTGCCAGCATTTCCAAGTGTAGCCAACACTCGAGGGCCGATGTCTGGACACCCCACCGAGTACTTATTTATGGCAGAGTTGACTAAGAGGAAGTCCGGGACAGATTCTGACACCACTTGCAAATGATGTACACGACCGGGAATTACAGCCACATGATGGTGCAGTGGTTTGCATGCTGTTGTAATGCTTACACCCTGGGTTTAATTGCAAGCGAGGTAAACCATCAATTAGGTTTGTGTGTGAACTCAACCTCTGCCTCTTCAACTCAAAGAAATGAATTGTGAACCCAGCAATTCAGGCTGGAGTCCTGGTTATGCACAATCGCAGAAAGTGGTGTCTGAGATTTTCTTGGGGTACACTTTAGGTGGACGCAGCCCTGAACGAATACTTGGCTCTAATTGTGTGACGTGCCAGAGAGGTTGCACGTTTGCCACTTGAGGCAGAGGTTCATGGGTCAAACCCAGCATCCACCCTGGTTAATACTGCAGGTGTATACACCGTAAAATACGTTTCACACTGGACGTTAAAGATTTCGCAAGTCTAAAATAGTAGGCCATGTGCGCTCGATAAAAAAAATCTTGCCAAATTACTGAAAAAAAGTGCATAGCAACATCACCCCATACTGGCAGACTCGTTTCGTCTGTGAAACATTGTGCCTCAGTGATAGCCTTGTGGTATGAGAATGACACGAATATTAAAGTACTAAATGATAACAGTAATTATTATCCCCCAAGAAACAAAATGGGAAATTAGATTGCTGGCCACTTGTGCCATTCTGGCCTCATTAGGAACTCACTAACAGCACTGCTATCGGTGGACTGTAATGCTAAGCAGAGGATATTAGTCTCCGTGTGTACTGGAGTCATGCTGCAGTGATTCACACACTGCATTCCTAAACATATAAAACTTCGGTGAAATGTGAATCGGGAAATTACCTCAGCCTCCCTTACGTCGACTTAGCCCTAATTAAACATTCATGGTAATGTGTGAACATTCGCCCAAAGGGAACAGAATTGGCTATGTGTGGTGCTGGAAGTGTTTTTGTCTTGTGCCAAGCCAGCCTTAATAGGTGCTTACTAACAGCAATTGCCACAGCTGCTTGCATGGCTATGTGGAGGATTACTTTGTTTCATTGGGCAATATACCATGGCTAGATGCAAGATTGCTTGTGGCTCTTGCGTTTAAATCCACCAGCAACAAAAATAATAATTACCTTTTATATATGCGTCGTAAATGCAAAACTGCATCTCACAATGCTGTACAAGACAACAGAAAAATAATCGTATATATATATTGCCCCTTGCAAAAAAAACATAGCTCACCCAAACCAAGGTCAACTCAATTTACTGTGAACGAGAATCAAATGGTATCCCTGCTCAAACAAGCGTGGGGCAATGCTCATCTCCATTGGCAACCCTGAGAGAGAAGTGGGAATTCCACATCGTCAAGTTGGGGGAGCCGTTGTTGCATAGGATCACCATTGTTTACTTCCCACAATAGAGTTTTATCTGCCCGGATGAATGATGGGCTGTGTCTACCCCCAGCGGAAATTTCAACTCACCACTTTGCGACTGTGAGCCAAGCACTCTAACTAGAATGTCAACCATCATCACTTTGACTTTGATGAAGTAAAATCCCCCGAGTGGGACATCACCATTGGCTCTCTTATTCGTGGGCTCTTGCCCGGCATAGGAATATGGAATTTCCACCGATGGCTCAGAGCCACTCATGGAGGACTGCACGATTCCATGCTTAGTAGAGCAGGGGAACACTAATTTATATATTTAACAGCACAGGACCAGCATTTGTTTTAGTTAGCTAATGGAAATGTAAAGAGTTTGTAAAATATAACATCTAAATTGTACTTTTTTTGTAAGTAAAGGTCATATAATATAAAGGAAGTAACCAATGTCATTAAAATTATTCAATTTGTAACTTTGCAAACATTAAACTGCACCGCACATGGAGGAAGCTGGTCACATAAGCCTCTTTTACGGTCATTATTTATGCACAACCATAATTTTATCTTCCCACAAGAAGATTACTTACGACTTGTGTGATATAATACACCATATTACTTTTGCATATACTCTAATTTATGTAGCCTAGAGATATTAGATTTTTAAAAGCTGATATATTAACATCCAGCTGATCCAAAGTTTATTCAAATGGATGACCATGGAAGTGTGATAAAGAAACCAACTTTATTTTATGATGTTTGCAAACAATTAAATGGAAATGAGAGTAATATATTATCAGCAGCAACAACAACAGTAAGTTTGCATTTTTATTATTTGGAGCTCAAATGATAGTAATGCATGTGTTTGTGTGCGTTTAATGCTGAGTTTATAAGATGCAAGACGTTGATCCGGAATTCACAGCACAGAGAACTGGCCAAGAATTGTTATGGTCAGAATTATTGGCTCACGACGGGACTGTAAAAATGAAATTCCTGGTCACGAGCCATTGTATGTATGCATATTGAACTTCTTTCACACCGTACGTAGCCAAACGTGCTAATTTAAGGTGCGTATTGATCTCTCCTGCACTAATACCACGAGTACCCCTTGGTGGGAAGTCATCATTCATTGTCCTATGGTAAATAACTTTATTTTTCCACAGGAATGCGTAATATTCACCATTGGCTAAGGGATACCAATGGAGATGGTTACTACCCGATTCGCATTTGAGAGGGTAAACATTTCCCCCTTTGTTGATGAACTACACGTGAATGATTATGTTGATAATCACAACCCAATTTGATTATCTGTGCATTTGGGAATGATAACTTGTAATGATAATATTTATGCAATTTCCAATGCGCGCAATATTTTACAGACGTAGATGACCGTGACTCTGAAGTGCGGAGTGACCCCCACAGTTTAATGTGAAGAAACTTCAATAGGAGTATCCATCTCATATGTGTTGGCTGCCCTAAGTCAGTCGTAGAAACTCCACGTCCCTATGGCAAAATGCAGTCCATTCTTACTAAAATTACTGTTAATATCACAGAGTGGTACTAATTGTATCGACCCCAGATAGCTGATGGGAAGAGTTTATCTCGAGGTTGAGTTGGTATTTGTAACCTTCTGTCAGTTGAGTTCTTTATTCGGAATGCCAGTCGTGACGCTGCTTACTATATATATCAAAACAACTCCTGCAGGAAACTCGCACTGGGAAAGTTGAGTAAATAAAGAGATTGTAATTAGGAGACATTGCAAAGTTGGTCTTACATTGGTGAACACTTGTCTTGATTTACATTTCACGCCCCAAGGGTGTGATCCCATTTTGCTATTTTAACAGTTTGACGTGAATTATACGAGAGCTGATATTTTAACTCTGTGTGCCACCACGATCAATCATTCATGTAAGCAGCATCCATGTGGTGCAAGAACTTGTGAAACTGTGCTTGCACATCGACGTTCTAATTTCACATCAGAGGTAAATCGTTGCTGACATGTTATATAATCTTTAACATTGCTCATCGCACAATATTGCACGCTGCAAGGGTTACTTACAAACGTACTATATTTCTCATTACTGATGACTTGTAATTGTTTGGTATTTTCAGAGTAGTTTAATCTGAATAATTCCCAGCATCGTACAGTACTATGACTGAACTGTAGAGTGCTGTGCCTGGATTTTAATTTGTCAACCTTGATCTCACCCTGATGATTTCAAGTGCAACATCATATTGCTAAATACGGTTAAGCTCACCAGTGAGCTGAAACAACAGCTGGCACGGCAAACACGTGTGCACGTGACAATTTCATTTGTTTTACTATTTTGGGTGGTGGAGGGTCTTAACGGCACAAACTTGGTCAGATCATTGTAGGCTAACCAAAAAGTCAGTTACGAATCACGATGGTTGTAGGTGCAGTAATGTAGCATGATCTATCTTGGTTTTATGTCTGTGCAAATACTGACGTACACATATTCCAGTAACCAACACCAATACCGGCCATTCGTCACTAAGTACCGGTGACGTCACCACGGCGCCTGTGCCAGTCCAGGTGAATTTTGAGGCCACGTGATGTGTCAAAGGCTCACATTAAAGTAACGCGCACGCACACACACATACAAAACTGCTTGATGCAATCTAGATAATCGGCAATGTGAGTTGGTTCTAGCAAAGATCATCCTGATGTGTTTGCAGACATTTCAAAAGCATAGTTCTCGCACGTATGAGAAGTATCACGTTTGCTGAAGTGTCTTTAAATGAGGACAAGGTAATACCGGCAGCCGTTCGGTCATGCGTTGGTGTGCAGCACTCACCGCGCACGTATAGAGTGTACTCCTCCGCAGAATGGCCAATGTTGTTGAAACCTTCGCACTTGTATGTCCCGTTGTCCGTTTTGTTGAGAGCGGTGATTACCAGTTTGTTCCCCAAAATCCTGGCTCGATCGGGCATCTCTCCATCTCTCCTCGCCCACTGAATGGAGCTTGGGCTGAACGTAAGAGGATTAGGAGATGGACATGTTAGCTAAAGCTTGGCAGGACGCCTGACGTTTTACTCAGACTTAGAAAAATGCAGGACTTATTGGGGACTTCGTGTACATTCCTATTGAATGTACTTTGGATAACAAAAACACATCTTGGGAAACAGTTGTTACTCCCATGAATCAAGTCAATTCCACATTCCTATAGCAGAGACTAGTATCTCTATTGGACAACCCAGAAGGGTTTAAAGAGGTGATCCCACCATTGGGTGTTCGTCACCACACCACCTGGCCAACTTAATTTATTATTTGCAAGGTGTATGCTGTTTATCCCAAAAGATACTCTCCGATTAACACTGAATGGCCTACAGCATGCAGTGGATAAAACTGCAACATTATTGAGTGGCGGTAGGGTTTCCCCAGCCCTAATTAGCGCCTGCCTCAATGTCACAAGTTGATAACTAATACCAGATAATATTAAACAAAACATGTTTTGTGATACCACGTTGGCAGTGGGGTGCATTGACGTGAGAAAAACTCAACCACTTCAAACAATAGCACTGCCTTTTTGACTGTGTTAGGTTTTTTCGTTCCCCAACAGAATATAGAATTGTGAGTTGCCTAAACAAGCACACACACACGCAGACTCCACAATTAGCCTGATTGACTAGAGCTCACCCTCTCAGCAAGCACCTGAACAGGCTGGAACAGCACACAAAAGGGTTGAGTGGTCAGCAATGTGCCTGGCCACCTTTTTCTCTCGAGCGTTTGATGTTTACACACCACACCATGTACTTATTAAAGGTTGAGTCGACCTCGGGAAGGTCCATTCTAGGAATAAATACACGGCTGAGAATTGAATCCATGTGGGATTACAGCATAGTCTGCTACCCACCACACTATATACTGTCCCTCGCTCAGCCTTACACACACACACATCTATTTATACACATATATATGAGCGATGTTTTCACGGTTTTCAAATGAATTCGAAAAAAAATCTGAGAGTTGAGTGTAAGTGCAACATTTTAGACGTTCCATTTACTTATTTCGAATTGATCCGAAAACAAGTCATGACAGGGGGTAGCAGCACTTTCATGATGTCAATTCCGAGATTTTCCTATTAACAGTGATATCACGTGACATGGGGTAACATCACTTTTAAAATCAGCTTGTCATGTAAATAATATGAAAATCTGAACAAGATCCAAAATTGCCCTAAAAAAATTCTTATATATTTTTGCTTAATCCAAAACGAATCCTTAGTATATATATACACACACACAATATCATATTTATAGCAAGCCAAGAAACACATAAAGTAGTTTGATATGCTTTATGTTTTGGCACACGTATGAATATTTATCATTTGCATATAAAAGCAGCGATAGCATTAGACTGCTGTGTGTCTTTCGAAAATAATTGCTCATGAGAAATACAATTTAAATTTGGACTCGCAGCATCTTTGGGGAAAAAAATATAGTCGCTGTTTGAAATTGCGTGGCATCTGCACACTCTTATATGTAAACTCCAAATAATTGCATATTCATATATTTCAGATACGCCATCAGAATGAATATCACTTCAAACTTCAAACAATAAAGTCTTATTGATGTGTAAACCTGAGCATTTTTCTGTAGACAATATACAGATGATGTTCGAAATCAGTTATGGCAAGTTTCAATGAAATCTTCATCAGACTTTCATCTTATTCTTCGTTTGATTCAGTCTGGGAGTGTAATCGGTTTATCTCCAGATAAAGTTTCAAGCTGTGCGTTATCTGAAAAAGCAATCTGGCATCCTTACTTGGGGTTTCCTGTGGCAATACAACTTAATTCCATTGTGTCGCCTTCTTCAAATATATCGCTGGAGGGTGTTATGACCAGTCTTGGTTTATCTGCAAAACAAGACAAGTTGTTTAGGGCCTTGTTTATAGCAGCGTTTAATAAGATACATCTGGTTGCGTGGTGCTCTGGTCGCAGGTTCAAATCCTGTTTGGGGTTCGAATAGGCCAACATCCCTTCTGGAGGTCAGCAAGATGAAGACCACGTCGTGATATGTGAACGATGGCCATGGTATATATTGATTGGCCACTGGGATTGTAGAATGTAATTGTAGAAGTTATCCCGGAATTGTAGAATTTCCTTGGCTCAGGGCCACTGATGGAGATGAGTACGGGCTCCCCCATCGCTCTCTGGAGCGGGGAGCCACTTTGACGTTGATATAATGGAGTCTCAGCGCGTCTGGCACCGTTTTCAGAGCCACACTTGGGATTCACGTTTCCCCGCCAAACCTTGCAATTTGTAAGGGACACAATCTCGCTCATGTAGTTCACCAAAGTCAAAGAGAAAAAAAAAGACCTGTCGTTTGACTACAGTTGATGGACCGTGATGGCATTGCCCCATGCCAAACGAGTGAAATTGTCCACCTGATAAAATGAGCATGGGGTGGTGCTCATTTCCATTCACGACCCAGACCGAGTGGTAGGAATTTCACGTTTACTCAGCTCGTTCTCATCAGTGTATGTCCACATGAACGACATCGCGTTGATTGCAGGTTAGTTTTTTAATTTATCTGAGAAAATGGCGACAATATTGGAGACCAAGTATGACCCTGCTAAAATATTCAATATTGTGGTGCTCATATCTAGCTATGGCTAGTGGTAGACATTTCACTTTCCAATGCCAGGAGCTATTATTGACTTCACACAAAGTGGTACTATGACCCCATCACCCCCTCCCCTACAGCAACCTTTGTGAGTCAAGGGACCTGGTGAATATAGCATTTGTTTTTATGCTTTTGTGGAATTCCCGGCACTAGATGGAAATTATGACCTCCAAAGTAGCTACATGAATCAGGCCCAAGCACTCCGACTACAAAGCTACTGCAGATTCGATGGAAATTCCCAAGACCCAACCTGCCAACAGCATCGGAACGCATCAAGAATTATTTTGTGTTTTTCCGCCTATTCTCATTCCAATTGTGCTATCACTGTCACTTCACAAGACGAAGTGTCCTTTGGGATCTCTTATGGGACAATGCAACCCTTCTTTTTGAAGTACAGTCCACAGAAGTGGATACCACAGAGCTACCTCTCGAGATCCCTTCAAGTGAACCACGGTCCACACACAGTAAAGGGTAGAATTTCCCCCTTCGTTGCATGACAGTCAAACTGACAGGAAGATGGAATTTATCCACATTAAGTACAGACCGAAATTTAATTTGATGGTTTTATTGTGCGGTCGTTTGTGACCTCGCCGCACTTGAGGACCTGGTTTAATCACAGGCTGCTGCCTAGATTCAAACCCAGGCTCTCATAGGTGCCGGCTTGGGGCTCTGACCTCTGAGCCACCCGATCACCTCGCACATCAAGAACGATGATAGCATGAGCCTGAGAAACGATTCGATCCAACCTGTTAAGTTTCATCGCGTTGTTATGAGACATTCATTCCTTGAATGAATTCTTACATTGAACGTGGAGATCCTGTGAAGTCTGCAGCGGAGTTGTCCTCAAGGCAGGGTGGTCCATCTGGCATCTCACTGGAGTCATGTTGTCTACCCACTCCACTGTGATGTTCACGGTGCTGATCACGGTGAACGTTTTCTTGTTGCTGTCCTTTTTTTCACGCCTCTGACCTAGGGTGGAGGAAGCACGTACAAATAAAATGTAACTCTTCATACAAAATATATATGGAATACATTTTACCCGCAGCGTTTCTTCTAGAAAGCAAACTTTACACCGGTTTTGACCTTCACAGGCTTTTTTTTTCGATTTAAAGCTTCTTTCGTGACTGCAGGGATTCATCTTCTTGGTTCTTTCGGTAAAGTCACGTAGAAGGGAAGTAATAAAATAATAAAAATAAAAATAATTATGTTTTATTTTTATTATGTTTTATTTTTATTATTTTATTACTTCCCTTCTACGTGACTTTACCGAAAGAACCAAGAAGAAGGCTTCACAGGCTTGTTAAACAAATGCTGCTGGGTTGTCAGATGTTATTGGCAAGAGCACCCCATCCAAACAATGAAGGCCCTGTTCAACACCAAAAGCAATGATGTATATAAACTCATTATGCGTTGCTGTGGAGCACAATTGGTAGACGAATATTGTCGTGGGTTGTGCACATAGAGTTTCATCACAGTACAAAAACAACATCTGTATGCGCCACATATGGTGGTATTGTAAAGCTGAAAAACATTACTGTTGTGTATGGGAGGAAACAAATAAATGTGTGGAATTAATTTAAAGCATCAAAGGAAGCAATTTGTCCTGAAAAACATCACAAAGTCTCATATAAAATTGTCATTTAACTAAAGCAAGCCAATAGTAGGGCTTTCTTTGACCATACTTCACTATGCTGGTCAGTGTGGGTTGATGAATGGGGAGAGAGCAACATTGGCTCTGATATAATTCAACACTGATGTTCGCTATGGCCGGGAGTCTAACTCGGGTGAAATCGGTTCATAGTGCAGAATGCTAGCCACGGTACCTCAATTGCGCCCCAGGTTTAATGTATCCGTATACATGTTTACGCTGAGTAGAGCATCTCTCCGTGTTTAAACCAGCATTGGGGCAGCACTCCAATTCCACTGGGTTGGTCCTAAGTCATTGTTGGAAATTCTACATTGTCATTTACCTTCCAGTATCGACCTTGGATGGATGTGAGGCTAAGTCAAACCCCCCGACTGGGGATGAAATCAGAACCTTCCAGTTTTGCGATCAATCACCCCACAAGCAGCACCTTCCAGCCAGGCAGATATAGCTATCTCCACTATGGTATACAACAACAATGAACACATTCATATCACTCTCATTGAATATACGACATTTACAATACATGTTAAAAATGGGAAATTAAATACACCATTCAAATGGTATTAATATGAGCAGAACAGACATGGATATTTCAGAGAAATATTGGACTGAAATGTTGTATTTGGATTGCAATTGCAAACGTTTGATATTCTAGAGACAGCAGTGTTGGCAGTACGAAGACAATGTTTTTCTGTGTAATAGTAACGAGCCGGATATAAAATGTGCAATCATTCACTGGTAAGAGACTCATTATCAATGGGACATTTGCTCTGTAATGTATGTGCCGCACAAATAAGGACACCCTATGCCTAACTCGTGCTTATTCCACGAAGGGCCCAGTTTCAAAGCCACTTTTGTGATAACGTCACACTTTGAAGGCTGACCACGTTCAGTATATTCACAGCATGCAGGATGCTCACTGCAAAACCCAAGCAGAATGAACGAAAGACAAATCCAAAGAAATCCCCACAAAATAAATGAAAATTATGTTATTGACCGCGTGTGGTCAGGCTCATCATTTCTGGACCTCAGACCATTGGTGTCAATGCCACATTATAGTTAGGGACCATATTATCCAAAGGACAACCGCTGCTGATGTCATATAAAGTGGAACTTTTTTTATCCTAGAGATATTATGGACCGATTCAATACACACATAAGCTTTGAACTCACAACTTTATTATTGTAAGTGACAATGGTGCCAGCTGGCTGGATCAAAATTCAATTGTATTTTATTTTGACTTATTGTTGGACAGAGCATCAGATCTATCTATTGTTTATATTCCACACTTTTCTGCACACCATGCTACAGTACAATCATGCTCGTGGATTCTGTCTTCTGAACGCACCTTAACGCATTCATTTATGCTTGCAATGTGTTTTGTGCCATCGTAAATTTATCTGGATATTTTCGGGCATGCTTTGCCATGCATAGATGGATGACTATGACTGAATCTCTAAGCAGTGTGATATCCGTCCAATTAAAATATACATTGAATACGCTGTAGGGAGTGTCTGTGCATAATAAAAACTGAACTAAACTATGTATTTTACCAGGTAATGTCCACTGAGCTATGTAGCTCTATTTCAGAAGCGACTTGGCCACAAATAATAGCTCATCGAAGTGGCTTATCATGTGGAAATTTATAGCAGCCAAATACTTTCAACCCACATTTCTAAATGTGGAGGGAAAAACCGGAGGGCCCAGAAAAAAATCCACGTGACCACACGGAGAACACGGAGAACATGTAAACTCCAAACATATAGGTGGCAGGGTCGGGATCAAACCCATGATCACCTGCATACCAAGCGATGTAGTTAACGTCTCGCTACCGTGGCACCCCCAATTATTGAAGAAACAAAATGTTAACAGATATTTTTCCATAGCAATGAAACAAGTACTTATGTGGGCATCATAATAAACAAATTGTTGTGTCTACATTTGTTAACTAAGTTTTGTGAATAAGCATTTTCTGAATGCAACAGTTTTTCTTCTGGTAAAAAAAAACACGTTTTTAGTACAGTTGTTTTGATAAGGGGCCAGAAAAAGTTACGCTTGCAATATTGCTTCACTCCAAACAATCATACAGACAGGACTGTCCTAAAGAAGGCCATGTTCCTTCATTCCTCTTCTGAGAGAGAATGATAAAAATGTCCTTGCCCAGGAACGTCAATTTAATGAATTCTCACATTACAAGCCTTGAACAACATAAAAGACTTTGATCGTGAGGGGTTTAAGATCCTGCCATGTTAGAATAGGTAATTGTTCGTTATCTCCTACACCATGCTGAGTTTTATATGGATTGTTTATATTAAAAAAGCGTTTATATTCCCTTTCACCATAGTACTGTGCACGATTATTGAACACGCACTGACTGATGGTAGTGGATGAAGGTAGACTGTGATAACTGGCTTTGATTATTTTCAATCAGACAATAATGTCACCCTACGTCTTTTAAAACAATGCTTTGTTAGCTATTGTCACTAATGCAACCCTCACATATTCCACCAGGCCAAGTAAGTTTGATGCAATTTAACAAATAAACCAAAGTCAAAAGCACTCTTGTGCTCATATGAGTGACAAACAGTGCTGTAATCCATTGGTGGCCAGAACCAGCTGTGGAAATTTTACATTTTCGTGATCGAGGCAAGTCAATCCAATGGACGATAAGACAAATTACATATACAGCTCTGAGATTTTAAATGTCGCTGTGACTATGCGACGAATCTCACTCTCATTTGCAGAGTGAGTGGGAAGTGCTGCCCTCTACTATTGGCGAACCCAGAGGCCACTCAAAGGGATCTCAGCAATTGCTCTGTGCTATATAAATTTCGATTTAAAGCTTTCGTGACTGCAGGGATTCATCTTCTTGGTTTTTTCGGTAAAGTCACGTAGAAGGGAAATAATGAAATAATAAAAATAAAACATAATAAAATAAAATTCTCACGACGTTTCGGCCACAACGCAAGCAGCCGTCCTCAGGTGACGAACGGGGCTGTCGGAAAGACAGCGTCCGAACGGACGCTGTCCGTTTTCCATCCATGGAAACAGTGCTCCTCTCTATGGGGAAGCTTGAGTCAGCAGTGCAATTTTTTCATTTTCGAAGGTGGGGGCCAGTCTCTGTATTGGAAAACCACTGTTGATTTCCAATAATTTATTTGATGAGGAGTGCTAAAATTGCTTGGCAGCTGTGGAAATACATATTTTGACACTGGACATATTTACTTCGTAACAAGTATCAAAAACTAGTCTGTTAGGCCACTTGAAAATTTCAGCCTTCTCCTTGTGGTGCATATGGAAGATAAGACCTTCAATGCACAGTGGCCTGCATATATTCCTTAAGCCGAACATTGTGTTAATGGTGTGCTATAGACAATTAAATTATACCCTGTGCCCTTCCGGATATAATGGACATTACATGACTTTAGATAACAGTAAATAACGCTCTTTATGTTTGGATATTAGCTGCATTTCAGGAGCAGGGCATTCAAGGTCACAGCAGTGTTATTAAAATGCATGACACTAACAGCAAGCGAATGTTAAACACTCTCCTTTGCTGGAATAATTCAACAGTGACTTGTCCATAGGGTTCACAAGTGAGATAGTTGCATTTGTTCACAGAGGTATGCAGTCGTATTGTATGAGTGTCCATTGTAAATCCAAGCATTGTCATAATTATCATCATCATTGTCATCATGTCACCAATATTATATTCAACTTGGACAAAGCACTTATATCCACCTGGTTTTCACTGTCACGCATCTCAACTTGCAAGTAGAAGGCATGAGTTTGAATCCCAGTAGTGTATCAACTCATCAAATCCATCCCTCCAGGGTCGAGCAAATTATATTCTATGTTCAATGTTTATTTCGGTAAAGTCACGTAGATAGAAAAACATAATAACAATAAAATAATACGAATAAATTAGTTTCACATAATGAGAAGTCAACAGTGATCAGCTGGATGTACTTGTCCCCGTCGTGAGAATGTGGAAGGGGAAACCCCTGTTGGAGACGAGCACTGCTCAATGCTGATTTGAGCAGGAGACATGTCGATGCTTTGGGGTTTACCTATGAGAGACGACTTGTGCATTTTATTTATATTGCAGGTTAGCTGAATATGTGCCGCAACATATGGAAGATAAGAATAATTTTCTTACGTACCTTTGAGCTCCTGATTTCCCTTAAACCAGCGTATGTTGGCAGCCGGTTTGCTTCCAGTTGATTGACAGGTGAGCTGGATGGTGTCTCCTTCCATTAGGACTCCATCATATCCCGTAATAACTGGCTGTTTCGGTGCAGCTGTGGACAGAAATAAAATAAACATTGAAAAGTTGCCTCAATTTTTTTCATAAATCTATATATTTTTTGACAAACATCCTACAGTCTGAGAACTCTTAGGCGTAATCACACTCAGAAATCTCAGGCTGTGAATATTATAATTGGATAAGATAATTTAATATTTCTTAGGGGATGAAAGTCACCTTTGGGCACATGTGATAGCCCCGCTATTAGCAGCAGTTGCCCAAAGCATAAAAATTGAAATATTCACGTTTAGTATTGAAAAAGAAAAACTGCACTGTATGAAAAAAAATGCGAAGCCTTTTTTTTGTTTGAAGAAAGCTCATCAATTATTTTTAGGGTTAAGGATGTTGGGAGCTTAATATTTATGAAAGAGTAGGCATTTTTACGAATGCATCTAATTTATCCTCAGTACTATGAATGCATTTAACGAGTATGTCCATGCATATTGTAATGTATATGATAATCAAATAGTAAAAATGATTTGGCGAAGTATGGAAACTTTGTAATGCAATGACTTATTCGGTGGTGAAATATCAGGAAATAAAATTAATTATTTCGTGATTTATACAAAGGGCGTTCGGCATAACACTGCCGATGCCATTTACACTTCACATTTATTTCTTCCTTCTATCGAAGCCCACAATGGTTGGCACAGCCAACATCCACTCCCCCAAGCTCTGCTCTCAGCATCCCTTTGAGCACCATTTCACTTACTCTTGTCAGGAACCTGCCCTCCTCCATCCTGTGCATATGTCCCACCTATTGGAGCCGCCGCTTCCCCATTCCAAGTTGCTTACACCCCATCCTGTGACTAGATTACGAATCTTCCTCACCAGTGGCTATTTTTCGGTTGCCGAACAAACACATTGTGAGATCGCACTCATTCAACGCAAAGTGCTTGCCATAAATTAACCACAATACCCTGCTGATTTTGTCAAGAGGCAAAAACCATCACGCGAACTCCAGTCATCCTCGCAGTGGCTTTTGGCTAACCATCGAACAAAGACGGTCACTGCATCGCGCGCTTTTAAATGCGCTTCTGCTGTCATCTGGAATGCTCTTCCTTACGATATTAGGAAGCCACTGAAGCTATGCACTTTCAAATCATCTAGATTGAAAACTAATGTCTTAAGAACCGCTTTTGTGTTTAATTTATCCTTCACCAGCACGTCCAATTAGCATGATTGGCTACGTACGGTGTGAAAGAAGTTCAACACACGTACATTCAAAGAGCAAACACTTATTTTCTCGTTTACTTTGTTCAAGTCCAGCTATCTGACTCAAACGGTAAAACATAACATTAGTCTTACCTCAACCATCCATCTATTAACACAACATATTACAATTCGACTCTTCCAAACTACAATCAATTATTACAAGCATTCCTTATACGTAAATGAGACATTGTCCACTTAATATTTTGGACGAATCCATTTCATATGCTTATTCAGATAACATGAGACTGGACAGTGAAATGAAAATAGACTTAAATAATATATACCATAGAGTCACATCACAATGTTAAGTATGCTAATGAATGCTGTCTTTCGCTGTCTCTACACATATGCATTATTCATCCAGAAGTTGTTTTCCTGTTGGAAAAAAAACTCAAGACGTAATTATTGGCACTGCAGGATAATGCGAGAGAAAGTGTAACAAAGTTTGTGCTTCATTGAGGAGCGCAAGGCGATTGATTGTGTTTGCTGGACACTTCGGCACCGAGATAGATAATGATGAGCCCATTATCAGTTCTTCAGCAGGAGTCGTTCCTCCCCGGTATTCTCCGACTCGCTAAACACAACATGAAATGTAATGAGAAATGTTTTTAACTTGAGCACAGAGATGTTTATTGTCAAGTTGTCAAATTCTCCAGGACTGGCTCCAAGCCACTGACAGTGAGGAGTGCTTTCCCATCGTGCATTTGAGTAGAGAAAAAAATAGAAATATTGCTTACATCAAAAACGACCGATTCCTTTCAACATGTACCTTTAAAATCAGATACATCACTCAATAGAAATTGTCCCTTTCACTCACACATTAAGATGCGTGATCATCTTAATTGGTGAGCTTGAACAAGTGGTGGAATTCCACATTCCCATGGCAGGAACCATTCCTCCCGTATAGAGCAACTGCTCAGGACAACCACTATTGACATCCTACGAAGTGGTGCAGCCTCGCCAGGTAGTTGTCATTGTACTCACCCCAGAGAAATGATGATGTTGTTGGTGATGGTGATCATTAAACCCTGGTTGATATCTCTCAACTGTGAGCCTTGATGAGCTACAAACTACTGATATTTCTTTGGGCTTATCTCTTGGGCTTATATGACATTAGGTTAAAATCATGAACACCTATCCTGTGCAAAGCCCCATATCCGACCATCACATATCCACCCTGAACAATGAATATCCCATACCTAGTGTGGTATTGGGGCATAGTGGAAATGTTGACATATCCAACCTTTTCACAAATCTGCCTATACCTCAGTTCCCAGTGAGTCCAATAGGCGATGTTTAAGTTCGATAAAAACAAATATCACTTGCTATGCCTAGTAAACAATGACACATTTCTTAACAAGTGGCTTTTATTCTAATTACTTGATTTCTAAATTTATTTTGGCATAATTTTTAATTATTTGCATGATTAATTTTACAGGGCAAAAAACAATCAATGATAGGATGAAAAACATAAATAACGTTTTAAATAATACATCACTCTATTACATATTCGGAAGTATAAATCATAGAATTCGTATTACTATAGATGCCAACCCGTTTAATATTTTGAGATTGCGTGCGATGCAAGACAGCCAATTGAGAAATGAATGACATTTGCATTGTTGTTTATAGTTTTCAATTATTTAACTAATATGACACTATCTAAAGTCATAAAGATAGAGTATTTAGCTTTTTTAATATTACATCCATTATTGTATTGTAATAATTTATATCACATATACCATTTTCATTACAGTAGGTTGTGTTTTATGTGCAGTATTTCATCCTATAATAGTAATATATATTTTAGAAATGGAAGCTTACGAGTTAAATCTCGTTTGGAATGACTTAACCAATCGTACTTATAGGGTAGGTAAAATTAGTACCAGGTTGTGGAAAGTCTGGTACCTGCTTTAATAGTGTGGAATTTCCACTTCTGGTTCAGGACCATCAATTGAGATGAGTGCCATCCAACACTTGTTTGACATTGCAGACACGCTGGCTATGACCTATGCTCACTATTTCATGTCGTTCACATGCTCCACTAGGAATTATCAGAATAATTTTACATTCCGAATGGTTTCACATTCCCGTAAGCATATACAGTATGCAATAGCAGCCGAATGAAGGCCATAGGCAATGGGGCATTAAGGAAATGTGTAGTGAGTCCCACTAAGTCGCAGACGTTGTCTGGGAGCAACACTATTTATTACATCAACTCAACACAACATGACAAATTGAAAAGCCATCTAACCTACGGCAACACTAGACACGGTCCAGCTATCCCGGTGCGACCACGAGCTGGGTCCCGGACCACGTGGCTAGAGGCTTCTTCAACCCTACGTGGATCTTCACTCACCAACAGTCAAGAACCCCGAGCCCCACACGGGGCCCCGTTATATCGGCCCGGGCTGGGGCTGGCTCCGCCACTCGCCCCGCCCACCTTCTCGATCTCTCTGGCCCTTTTCCAAAGGCTCCCGAGAGCTCTTCTATACCACGTGACCACCCAGCAGCCCCAATCCACCGGTGGTCAACCAGCGTATCATGCCCCAACGTAACCCTGGCTGGCTGACACTCTCTCTCGCTCCCTCACTGGGAGCCCGCACCACACACTGTACGTGTTGCCTCTGTGCTAACCAGCGCTCACCCAAGCTAGGGCTGGTACTACGCCCAGTAAGCGGGCTACACATAATGACAACACAATATCCGCTGTGGCCTCGCAAGCCCGGCACCACACAGTGACATTCACAGCCACTACAAATGTAAAGCAATGCATGCATTGTTAATATACCAGCAGCTATGTGCTCATATAAGAACTTGTCAGGAATGTACAGTATATGCATGTATATGGGCGATGTGAAAGGTTAAAGGTAAAGGTGCAGGGCTGAAATTGCTTGCTCATGCCACTGTAATCAGAAAGGTCTCTGCGAGAGAGAGCTCCGGAGAGCACCTCTGGAGGGGTTTTGGCCTCCTCTTACACACTGGTGGGATTCCACACACTTTATCCCAGCACGCACGACATGATGATCGACTAACTGTGGTGTGTCTATGATACTGCGAGGTGAAAGGCTGCCCATGTTTGCAACTGGCACACCGGGGTATAAAACGGGCTACCTCTGGATTGCAAGTGCAGTGTGTAAACAGTTACACCACCGTGGCAGCATCCATACCGACTACTTATACTCCTCTGTAAATGCACAGAAACATATACGGTGATACCTTCAACAGTTTAATCATTGCAATATATATTTTTAAGGCGACTTAAATTGCTAATAATTTGTGCATTGAAGGAAAAGTTAAGGAACACACGTATTAGTTTAATCTTACACTTTCTGCCCTGCCTCCTCCCTCCCCCTTCTCTCTCCTCCCCTACTGCCGAGGCCTATATAACCTCGTGCCACGGCAGATCTCTCGCCTACTTCAGCAGTTCTTTCTTGCTGTGGTTGTCGCACCTGAAGACGATTGCTTGTGTTGCGATCGAAACGTCGTGATCGATTATTTTTCTCCCTACATGACTTTACCGAAAGAACCAAAGAGTACGTATTAGTTTATTTAGATGGCAAAATTGTGAACAATATTTAATGTTGATTTTAGTTTTTATTGTTTTTTTTTGGTGTTGGGATGGGCTAATTGAAGATAATTTATTGCTCACTAATATTAATGTATTAATGGTGAAACTATAGAGAAATAAATGTAGAAAACTACTGCATTCGTCGCTACAATTGCTCAATTTGCAAAACAAGGGCATCGTGTTAATTGAAGCATTTTTCCATTACACCA